ATTTTAAGCCTATTGGAAAGAAAAAATATTAAGTTAGTGTTCTGTGGTATAAGGAAGCTCCCCAAATAGAGTATTTCTGTACATGATTTCTAAACTAAATGCATTGCAAAATCATATAAGGTGCACTTTAATATCTTTGTGTATCAATTTTAAAGTCAAAATCATCTTATGTCCTTTTTTGGCCTTTAATGTTTACTTCAATATAATATATGATATGATAAAATAATTGTGAAATATAGTATCTCGGCAAATAGTATTACCCTAATATGTGACTATCTTAATGACTGCTCAGTTAAAATAAGAATTACCCATACAATCGGTGCCTTGTTAGGCACTTTGGTTGTGCCAAATGAAGAAGTCAGTTTAGTGTGAATTATATAATCATTATCTCAATCATTAATTACGTCCTATCACAGTGCACTGCTGAACATAGAACTCTTACATAGATTGCACATGGGGCATGGGGGCGGGGGAGGGGGGGGAGGTTTGGCCGGAGTTTCCTAGTTTGACAGGTAGGTTGACTACCGCAGTTTTTCATTATTTTGGGATGTTACTAGGAAGACGATGTTGCGTATCTCTTCTGTTTTATTTCTCTCTATTGCCTGTTAAGACACCCACGGGATGGTATTGGGTGGTGAATTCTATTATGCTACCACTAGAAATATAAAGATATATATATAGAAATAGTGACTTCAACGTATTGTCGATTTTCCGTGGTATATCTACGGTCTTAAAATAGGTCTTCAACCCTAAATCATATTTGTATACATTACTATACAAAGAGGTATACTTTATTTCTAAACTCTTTAATTTCACATTACTATGCCAGTTTTAAAATTTCATTTCAATTTAATTCAGCGAAAAATAAATATTTGTAATTTAGCTAAAAATTGGCAAAATAAATGGAGTACTTTTATCTACCGGCATATGTACGTTAAAGAGCAAAGTAAAATTTTATCTACTCTCCCTTCCCCTCTCGGGTGAGCGTCACCCCCCGCGCCCCAGATAGTGTCCTGCAGCACTCTTTTTTCCAGTTTTAAAGAAAACTGTACAAGATACTTGAAAAATCTACAGGTACAAAATAATCCTTAATAAATTTGTTATCCACCTCTTTTACAGACAAAAGCTATATTGCATATGGTTTCAACAAAAAGCCAAATCAAAAAAATTTTGTCATTAAGTCAGTCGGTCTAATCGACGAGAGTAGCTGATGACGGTGAATATATATTCCAAATAGAAACATTTTCTTTCCGTGCAAGACTGCTGAGAACTTTTATGGCGAGGTGTGAGGGGAAGAAAATTTTACATTCCCTGATAGTAAGACTACTTACTACTGACTACGGTGAGGCTACTGGGAATACTTAAAAGAAGCGAAGTATATTCAAGCGTTAGGAATCTTTAGACTTAGCACATGGAGTTAGTGAATCTGTATTAACTTTAGTATGGTGTTAGTGTTTCGTATATCTCGAAATTGGTACACTATTTTTTATTGAATTTTGCCGAAGATACTAAGTACGTTTAGGATTAAGTGTTATTAGGCTAGCTATGTTTTACTAGAGTATTTTAAATTACATGACGTATATGGTTTTTATTTCAATAAAATCTATTTAACTGAATCAGGACGGAAGCTCGCATATTTAGATGCATCAGCCCTACAAAACTTGGATGTGAAGCATTTTTGATTTTATATTTTATGCATTATGTGTAAAAATTTTTTTTTTAATAATTCTGTTTAAAAATGTAATATTTATCTTACTTTCATTTTCAACATACATATATACATACGTATATGTCAGGCCTGTAATCCCCGAGGTATAGGTAGAGTCCGAAGTGCGAACCACGCGGGTCACATTTAGCCAAAAAATTATGGGTGTGCAGAGGGCAATGCTTAGGGGTTTCTTTGCGTGATAGACTTAAAAACGAGGATATCCGCAGTAGAACTAGAGTGGCCGACGTAGGCCAACGGATTAGAAAGTTGAAGCAATTGGCCGGCCATATAGCTCGAAGAATCGACAACCGATGGGGAAGAAAGGACTCGAAAGTATAGATGAAGTGACGACCTGGTAAGATATGCAGGAAGTCAATGTATACAGGTGGCTCAGGACCGTGCTTTGTGTCATTTCTTGGGGGAGGTCTATGTTTAGCGGAGGACTTGTGAAGGGCTGCAATAATGATGATGATGATGATATTGCCTACACAATATTGTGACGAGCTAGGCAATTTACGCATTCGGCACATTATTATGGGACCTACAAGTCCCATATCAGAGATAATTGACAAGTGATATTATTTGTATTTTCATAACGTCAATAATATTCATATCTAAGTTTTTTAGAGCTGAAGGTAATAATGCTGTTTTATTACACGCGGTTTTTTAATTGTATTTCATTACTAACTAAACATAAGGCCCTTAATCCTCAGATGGTGTATACACAGTGACGTCACTTTACCATTAGATTAGTTTTATATTAAGAAGGTAGTTTTATAATCTCTGGTTACATACATTATAATGTCATATATTATTAGGAATTGGGGTGTATGATGTCTAGTTGTGTCGATTGAATGTGGAATTGCGGTATTTAGTTATATGTAGGTATAAATATGGTGTTGTGTGGAATACTGTATATGTTTTTATTATAATAAATTGTTTGGAAACTTTTGAATGTTTCATTGTTCCTACATATCAGCTTTTGTTTGTTTTTTTTTTAACAATTGGAGACAAACGGGGCGCGGACCGCGATCTCAAAAGGTCGTAGGTTCGAATCCACCATTCGACCAATGTCGTGAACCACTTCTAACACAAGCATTTTAAGCTTACCAGGAGTGGTTACAGGGAATATTAGTAATGTTAATTAGCATCGCTAGTATTTTTCTACAGACTTCAAAAAGGAGACGGTAATCAATTCGACTCTATGTTTTTTTTTATTTTAATATGAGTTACCTTATAACTTTTTTCTTGGCTAACCGATTTCGATGATTCTTTTTTTTTATTTGAAAGCTCGTGCTCCTCGTGTCCCATATAAATTTGATCAAGGTCTGACCAATAGTTTTTAAGTTATTATTTATAATTTATATCGATGTCAGTTGTACAAAATTTTTAATTTTAAATTATTTTAAACTTTATTTCTATCATCATATAGTAGAGAAAATCTTATCCGTCTTAAACATTTCAAAACTAGATCACTATACGTTACTCTCCATCAGGAGGTAATATCAAGTCTAATTTGCATGCATATTTATTAGAAATATTCAATCCCATTGTTAGTTGTTTTTTATTTGCATTCACTGTTTTTTTTTGTTCATAGAATAAGGGTGCACAGAATAAGGGAGCACACAGTCCACCTGATGGTAAGTGGTTGCTGTGGCCCATAGACATCTACATCTATCTTCGTTTGCAAATTAAAATGCATATGCATTGTCACCCGTGAGGACTAAGATGGAATGCCTCTTTCGCAGTAAAAAGGGTCTCCAGGTCGGTACACTCACAATGCGAAACACAGCACCATTAAACTGCTATTTTACGCTGGTATTCTGTGAGAACGTGGTCCGTCCCCGGTCGAACCGACTTATTTGTGCTACAACTATACTATTAATATAGCTGCAGCATGGCTCTACCACGTTGTTTGTTTCCTTCTTGTTTGTTTTGCTCTTCCACAAAGGTTTTGGTATCTAGCCTTGTTTCTATCAAGTTGTAATTTCATTTGAATGAAATCGTTAATAGACAGATGCATTTTCTTTAAGACTATAACTGTTGAATCGTCGTAAAATATATAATAATCGAAGTAAAACTATACAATGACCGTGTAATGGTGGTGTAAGAATATCCACTACTCTATTTCGGCCCGCGGGTGCCGTCAGAGGCGGGAGAGGGGAACTGAAACGGGAATGGCCAGCAACATCGTCCCCATAACTCAAAATAATTAAAACTGCGGCTGCCAACCCGCCTGCCATGCTTGGCAATGTATGGCTATGAGCAGTGGACTTTTATAGGCTGTAGTGAATGTAATGGATGGAAACCAAACATCATGTAAAAGTCATTTAAAGAATAGTAGGGATTGTCTAATTTTAAAACTACTGTATTATCATAAAATCGAAATATGTGCGCCCTTTGTATTATATTTGATGATTTTAGCATTTTTTTTATATTTGACATGATGAATCTGAATGACAGAGTGAGAAATTGTTTAATAAGAGAAGAGTGTGGTTTGCATGATGATGTGACCAGGATTAGGAAAGGAATGCTTCGGTGGTTTGGCCATGTAGAAAGAATGAATGAGGAAAGAGTGACAAAGCAAATTTATCTTGCAGAGGTGAACGGCATAGTCAGGAAGGGTCGCCCTAGGCGAAAGTTTATCGACCAAATTGGCGATATATTAAAAATGGGCCAAATCAAGAGTACCTTTAAGCGACGAGCGTGTATGCGTAGGTATATGGATGTGGAGGAAGCGAGAGAGGTGTGTCAGGATCGTGCCAAATGGAAGTCCATAATCTCTGCCTACCCCTCTGGGTGACAGGCGTGAGTGTTTTTATGTATTGACATGATAAATTTCATAAAATTAACAAAATAAGGGAGACACGAGCAGGTATAAATTAGATGATCTTTACATGTATTAATATTAGCTGGCCAGGCAGAAGTTGTTCTGCCCTTTCCAACGACCCTTCCTATAAAAATCCTTAAATTCGCAATAAAAAATTTTGAGGGTCATTTAGCGGGATAAAAGCTATCTTATGTCTCAATTTGGACCAAAATGCACACAGTGTGCAAAATTTCATTGAAATCAGTTCAATAGTTTAGGAGTCCATCGCGGACAAACAACGTGACACGTGATTTTTATATATAAAGATTAATACCGTCAGTACAAATAATTATATAGTTATTATTTGTACTGACGGTGAAATCTTAAAACTTACGTTTTTATTTTGTTTGAAAGCTTTCGTAAAAGTTTACGATAGATCGTAAGATTTATCCAACAACTTGGTGAGTTCAACGAAACTGGTGTATGAATAGCAAGTCTTTCTCTGTTGAAACCGCTTTCGATTCTGTGGTCGCAAACAGCCAGAAATACATCATTAACATAAATACCCTCAGAGTAAGAGCTATAACCATAAATGTGAAAAAAAAATAACCAGAAGTCTCACACCTTCGATGCTGCCCCGTCGTCAGTCTGTCAAATTGACATCTGGTACCTATATACGAGATGGTTATATTGCTGTCTATCAGAGGTCGTGAGGTCTTTAACTAGTACTTCTATAGTCTCCTCTTAAGACCTTAAAAGACGATGTGGGTTGATGTATAGAACTAGCGGCCCATTTTGTGTATATGTATATCTATGCATAACAGCATTCTCTCTCGTATTGATTTCCCTTTGCATGCGTTCAAAGCGTATATAAAAAGCATTCTTGTAAGGAAAGGATATTTTGAATGAGGATTATTTAAAAGATAAGGATGCGTAGACGTGATGAGCTTCTCTTCTCTCATGATCTTTTGTAAATACAGGTTAAATTTTAACTATTGGAAAAAAAAATGTCTACCTGTGAGTTTTCTACCGCTTTACTCAGGTCTCCCGTAGCTTCTTTTCTTTTCTTGACTTTCAAAAAGTGCTTTGTAAAAGCTAATTTTGTATTAAAATATTTTGATTGATGGAATCTCTAACGCCACTACTTTCAACGTGGTAGAGCCATGCTGCAGATGTATTATGGTTGTAGCACGAATGGATCGGCTTTACCAGGGTAGGAACACGCTCTCACAGAATACCGGAGTAAAATAGCAGCTTAACGCTACTGTGTTTCGTATGGTGAGTGTAGAGACCCTTTTAAACTGGAAACGAGACATTCCATCATAGTCCTCAGGGGTTACAACGCATTTGTATTTTGATTCTTAATCGAGGATAGATGTAGAAGGGCTACAGCATCCACTTACCATCAGGTGGACTTTGTGCACGTTTGTCACCTTTTTTCTTATAAAATAAGATCGTTAAAAACTTCTTATGGCAAACACGCTATAGGTAGATTAAAGCGTCGGTTCCTAAACAGGAGGGGAGCAAGTTCGACGCCAACGAGGAGGAGGCGCGGGCGGAGAGGAAGCGACGCCAGAGACTCGCGCAAGAGGAATTTCGACAGAAGCAACTTCTCAAGCAGAAATCTGGTCTAGGTTAGCATGTTATAGGCATCCTATTTTTAAACATTTCTATCATCAAATTCGATGAGCCTTATCTGGAACTCTGAAGTATTGTATCGCATGCATTTTATATGGTTTAGCTTATTTTGACACAGGTATTTGAAATAATATGGTTTTTCGTTAACCGTAAGAATGCCATATCTATGGGATTTTTTAAATTGTTTTGGAATTTTTTTATTTTAGTATAAGCAAATGAAGAAATTACTAAGGGCACTACGTCTCGTGGGCACCGTTAACAGCACCGGGAAAAAATTATCTCTCTGTATCGAACTGCAGTGGTTCCGATCTTTTCCGATATTGAAAATTATAAAAAAAATGAAAAACGAGCGTCGATGCTACAAGGGAGTCTCCACGCTTTATCAATATTGTCTATAGAGGCATATAAGTTAAAGTTACAGTCTATATACGTCCCACTGCTGGGCACACGCCTCCTTTCATTTCTGAGAGGGGTTTAGAGCAAGGAAGTGTCCGCCGCGCTGCCCCAACGCGTGTTGGCGGACTTCACATGTCTTCGAAATATGTTTTTTTCTTATTTCTCAGACATGCAGGTTTCCTCACGATGTTTTCCTTCACCGCCGAGCACTTTGTAAATCAGCACTTAAAATTGCAATTAACAATGTCATTGGTGACGGCGGGGATCGAACCTGGGTTGCTCGCGTACTGTGAAATTTACAACGAGCGCTAACCGTCTGAGCTACCATGGCTTATAGATAGATGCATACATGCTAAGAAGATTTAACTTTGACCCACTGTTCGCGTATTTACTGTACGGAAAAGTTTGCTTTTTTTACTATGTTACTAGCTACTCTATTTATCAATTTCGTACATATTCTAAGAAAAAGAATGTCCTCCAGATTCAGACCGCATTCCGGTAATGACGGCCAGTCTCCACGGAGACTAGCCATCTGCACAGGACAGGGTTATAGTGTCCGAGTGTATACACAAGCGCAGGTGCTCTCTCTATTCCCTCATTCTCATGGTCCGATGGGACGGTAAACCGACACGACCGGAGAGATATCAGGCGAGGACCAACGGCTTTCCGAGGCACGAGGGTAAAACACGGCCAGCTTCTTGGCTCCGACCTGCTACTGAGAATATCTTGTTAGAAGAACCCAATAACTGAACTCTAAGAAAAGTACGCAGTAATTGATCTATTTGTAATAAAAACGTTAAACTTTTCAAAGACCGGCGCAGTTTGTTAGTGGATAGTGGACACAAATGCATGTATTGCTTAGGGCAAATAGTCTGATACCACAAACTCATAACATTGGTCTGAATACAGCACTGCACCCATTTCATTAGTAATATGTAATAATAGTAATTGGAATAAGTTTTAAAATTTGTGTAATGAACTACAACTCGGTTGAGCTAATTTTGCACCTCACTGCACTACGAGAACCTACCGTTTCCCCGTTCTCAACCCCCTGTTCATACAGTCGCGTCAGTACTCAGTATTATCAGTCAGGTTTTCATCTTTGTTACCGATACGCATAATTTTTGTCTCCTATTTCTTTAGCTTTTGGATTATTTTTGTTGTTACGTCATCCGCACCAAATGCAAACTTAACCGTGTTGTAGTTGTTTCATTTAAAATAGGTTTTTAATAATCACGTGCATTTTGATGTACACGCACGTATTCACAAAAAATATGCTATCAAATTACTTAGTTGTCATTATTACTAGTGCTTATGCAGAGTTTTGTTGTTACTTACATATTAACTGTCATAACACGCTGATTTGGTCTACATCAACTTCATCGCATGTTGTTTTGGTTAATGCTGATTAAATAATTCTTATTTCCGTATGCCTTATTTTCTTACACAAGTAACCTTTTACATTGTTTCAGCAACGTCAGTAAAGAATAATTTTTTTTCCAATGCTATGACAGCTTTTTTATAGGATAAGGGTGACAAGCGAGCACACTGTCCATCTAATGGTAAATGGTTGTTGTGGCCTATAGACATCCAGATCTATTCTCGATTACGAATCAAAATGTAGATGCGTTTTCAGCCGTGAGGACTAAGATGGAATGCCTCGTTTCCAGTAAAAAAGGTCTCCGGTTCTCTACATCTACACTCACCATACGAAACAGCAGCATTAAGCTGCTATCACAAACTAATAAGGCTGCTATTTTACGCTGATATCTGTAGCACAAATGCTACAACTATACCAGTAATATAGCTGCAGCATGGCTCTACCGCGTAAATATCATATCATACACGTGGTAGAGCCATGCTGCAGCTATATTAGTAGTTTGGCTACGCGTAGATACTAGACAGCGACGACCATCCGCGCGTCTACGGGTGCCTCTATAGGTCCCATAGCGGTAATGCCGAAACAGACCGACTCATCGACCACGTACAAATGGCTACAGATTCCTTGCTACAACAGGTCCCATCCGCAGAGATCGTGATCCTTGGCGATTTTAACGCCGACCACGCCGAATGGCTCGTTTCACGTTTAACCGATCATGCGGAGAGATCTGTTTATGACTTTGCCTTGCCATATGGTCTGACACAACTGGTTACTTCGCCTACGCGGATTCCAGATGTGGAGGATCATACACCTTCCCTGTTGGACCTTCTGCTGACCTCACATCCGGACGGATATCAGGTTTCCGTCGATGCCCCTCTCGGCTCTTCGGACCATTGTCTGATCCGGAGTGTGGTGCCACTCACGCTCCCTTCGCGGTTGCGTTCTGCAAGTTGCCGCCGTGTTTGGCATTACAGGTCGGCGGATTGGGACGGAATGCGGTCTTTCTTTGCATCCTACCCATGGGGGCGGGTTTGCTTCTCGCCGGATGATCCCAGCGCTGTTGCTGACTCTGTCACTGATGTGGTGCTACAGGGAATGGAACTATTTATTCCATCATCTGTGGTACCCATCGAAGGCAGATCTCAGCCTTGGTTTGGTCGCTCCTGTAAGACTGCATTACGCAGTAAGCAGGAGTGTTATCAAGCCTGGGCTGCGGCTTCGGCGACTCGGGATGTAAACACCAGCACACTTAAAAAGAAGTATAACTTCGCCTCCAGGTCCTTCAAAAGAGTTATTGCCAAGGCAAAGTCAGAGCACATAGGCAGAATTGGCGAGAAGCTAGTTCGCCTTCCTTCGGGAACCCGTGCATTCTGGTTTCTCGCCAAGGCTGTCGAAGGGAATTTCTGTAAGCCAACCCTACCATCTCTGCACAGGGAGGACAACCCACTGGCCCAATACGCAAAAGACAAAGCTGACCTTTTAAGCTCCCTTTTTGCGTCCAACTCGACTGTTGATGACGGGGGGAAAACACCGCCGACCATCCCGCGGTGTGAGTGCTCCATGCCGGATGTGCTGTTCTCACAGCGCTCGGTTCGCAAAGCACTTCTCTCCCTGGACATCCAGAAGTCGAGTGGGCCTGACGGAATCCCCCCAATTGTGCTGAGGACGTGTGCTCCGGAGTTGGCACCGGTCCTAACGCGTCTTTTCCGGTATTCCTACTCCCAAGGCGTAGTCCCGAATTCATGGAAGACAGCTTTTGTCCACCGGATCCCTAAAAAAGGCGACCGCTCAGACCCGTCCAACTATAGGCCTATCGCGATCACCTCCTTGTTCTCCAAAATAATGGAATCCATTATTAACTGCCAGCTCATCCGGTATCTTGAGGATCACCAGCTGATTAGTGACCGCCAATACGGTTTTCGTCGGGGTCGATCAGCTGGTGCTCTTATGGTCTACCTGACCCGTAGATGGGCGGAGGCAGTAGAGTCCAAGGGGGAGGCGTTGGCCGTTAGTCTGGACATTGCGAAGGCCTTCGATCGGGTTTGGCACAAAGCGCTTCTTTCGAAGCTCCCTTCCTATGGGCTTCCCGAGAAATTGTGCAATTGGATCACCAGCTTCCTTGCAGATCGCAGCATCAAGGTCGTTGTAGACGGTGCATGTTCTGACTACAAGCCTATTAACGCTGGTGTTCCACAAGGCTCTGTGCTATCACCAACGCTGTTTCTTCTGCATATCAATGATATGTTGCTAACTGGTAACATTCATTGCTATGCGGATGACAGCACTGGTGATGCTCTATATACCGGCCGTGCCAATATTTCTCGGGAAAACGTCGCCGAGTACCGGAAAAAACTTGTGTCTGAAGTCGAGTCTTTGCTGAACAAAGTCTCGTATTGGGGGCGACTAAATCTAGTCCAGTTTAATTCTCAGAAGACACAAGTTTGCGCGTTTACCGCTAAAAAGAACCCCTTTGTCGTATCTCCTCAGTTTCAAGGCACTCCCCTTCTTGCCTCAGCCAGTATCGGTATCCTCAGAGTCGACATATCGAGTGACGTGCAGTTTCGTGGTCACTTGGAAGAGAAGGCCAAATTGGCCTCTAAAAAGCTTGGCGTGCTCAACAGAGCGGGACAGTATTTCATGTCGGCACACCGCCTGCAACTTTACAAGGCGCAGGTTCGGCCTCACATGGAATACTGTTCCTATCTCTGGGCAGGGGCTCCCCAGTGCCAGCTCCTTCCACTTGACCGCATCCAGCACAGAGCGGCTCGAATCGTCGACGACCGAGCCCTTTCCGATCGGCTCGATTCACTGGCACTGCGAAGAGATGTTGCATCCCTTTGCATTTTCTTTCGCATCTACCATGGGGAGTGCTCTGAGGAATTGTTCGGATTAGTCCCAGCCGCCAAATTTCACGAACGCACATCGCGGCAGAACTCCCGATACCATCCACACCATCTGGATGATTGGCGGTCCACCACTGTGCGTAGAAGATGTTTTCTTCCTCGCACGACTTCCTTGTGGAATCGATTACCATCAGCGATTTTTCCGGACCGATACGACGCACGTATTCACAAAAAATTCCTTTTTAAAAGGCCGGCAACGCATCTGCAATTCCCTCCCTGGTGTTGCAGTTGTTCATGGGCGGCGGTAGTCACTTACCATCAGGTGAGTCGCATGCTCGTTTGCCCCCTCTCCTATAAAAAAAAAAATAAAAAAAGTATAGTTGTAGCACGAATGGGTCGGCTCGACCGGGGAACCACGCTCTCACAAAAAGTTTGTTTTGAAAGTTTGGATAAATTTGGCTCTTATCTTGTTGTTTTAAGTTTCAAACACGACTCTGAATATTCATTTGTTAGTTGGCTTCTTACTTTCTTTTAATTATATACATGCAAGAGAACACTTGCTCGCACGAATATGTCGAACCGAAGATAGTCAGCACTCTAAATGCCAACTTCACTTCACTGTAGCAATCTGAAAGTCTATTCCATGCGTCAAATATAAGTGCCTCAACTCGCGGCATTTCTTTTAAAGCTGTTCATTTTTGTTGTGTTACGTACATACATTTCTGGACCTCCAACTCTTTCAACTTGCTTTTCAACTCTGTAAATTTTCAACTCTATAAAGCTTTACTGTTTAAATCGATCAATTGCATTTCTAGAGATCCAGTATTAACTCCAAATGGCTCAGTGTGGATCGATTTTTAAATGTTTTTTTTTTATAAAATAAATAATATTTGCGTATGAAACTAAAGAGCCGCAGCTTCACATCCAAAGAGCCACATGTGGCTCGCGAGCCGCAGGATGCCGACCCCTGCCCTATCCTATAAAAAATATCTTTAAATAGTAAAAAAGCTTTCTGCAATATGCTATTGAATATTTTAAATAAAGTAATTTTTTATTTGTTTGCATATAGGTTCATCATAATTTTTATACATTTTCTTATATGTATAAAATAAATCATGCCTTCTCGCATTCGGAATATACAGGCACCTAGGATTAAAAAGTGAAAACAAACTTAATTTATTAGTAATCATAAAATCAAAATTTACATAATAGTTGTGATACCGTTGTAATAAAAACAGCATCTAGGTAGATTATAGTCTTACCAAACAAATATAAACTGTGGAATTAAAACTATGCTCAAGGTAGTACGTGGTACAGCCGTGCTGCATCTATATGATGGTTGTAGCACACATGAGTAGGCTCGACCGCGGAAAGACCATGCTCTTCCAGAATACCAGCGTGAAATAGCAGCTTAATACTGTTGTGTTCTGCATTTTGATTCTTATTCGGCATTTCAAGTCATTAGTACCAGGCAGTTGATAGGATCAAACCCGGACACTCGGTTTGCTTGCTGTGAAATTTACGACAACGGCTTGCCGTTGAGCTACTACATATAAATTATTGTTACTCTTCAAATTGTAATTTTTTAATTTGAAAATTTAAACATTATATAGGTACCATTATTATTAAGTTAATGTAGCTTTTGAGAGCTATTTAGGTATTTAAGATTTGTTTTTCCATAACAGAGTTAATCAGAAGCCACAATGACAGGCTCGCGGTTTTTGAATTCTAATCCCAGCTTGAACGAGTATTTGTCCAAAAACACAAACGATATTTGAGTCTGGATGTGTTGTAATACTCTGTGTCTCTAACACTGCGTCCAAGCGTACCTCCAATTTTACCGGTTAAGCATCACATCAGATGCGAAGGACAATATAGAATACTTAATGAAGATAGGCTGTAAGTCATTCATCTTAGTCGTCAGGGGTGACAACGCATCAGAAGATTTCTTTTTCATGAATCATAAAGTTGACTGTAAGTGCCCAAGAATTGCAGTAGCAATATACCATCAGGTGAATTTAGTTCGTTTGTAAATTCTGTTTTATAAAAAAACGTAATAAAGATACCCTTGTAGAACTAGAGTAACCGACATATTCTGCACAGTAAGCTGAAGCTGTTATTAGTCTGGCCATGTAATAATTCAATTAATAATTTATGATCAATTTATTGTATAACAATACAAGAATTCTTAAAATTAAAGTATTTAATTGTACATTATATTTGAATACAACAAGAATGTTTGTACATAATTTTTAACTAACCCCTAGGAATGAGGTGATCGCTACTATGCTGTTGCTTAATGTTTTCATATTTAAGTACGAAATATCATATTGTAAATAAATGTTTTAAAAAAAGTCTTGGTTGGTTTATTGCTGGTTCTTCCCAGGATAATTTTTCCGAACCAGTGGTAAAAACATAAATGACTTTCAACAAGTGTTCTTTTAATCTATATTAAATAAAAATATTCTATTCTATTGTCAACAGATGAGCGCCAAACGCTCTCAAAAGACAACAGCAGCCTGGACACTTTGCTGATGGCAATACCGACTCAGGATATAATTATTGAGGAAACTGGTAACACTGAAGAGGCGGGGAAGCGGAAGTCTCCCTCGCGTGACGGTGGCTCCTCCAAGCGGCGGGGCAGTATTGCAGACAAACTTGAAATAGTTTCAGATTAAAATTAAAAACCGAACAAGTGATAGAATTAGAATACCCAATTTCTAATGATCGTAATGGTAATTATAAGTTCTTACAAAAATTATAATTTCATAAAAACGATAATTCCAACATATCTGATAAGTGATAAATTTATACGTGGTAGAGCCATACTGCAGCTATATTAGTAGCCGTAGCACAAATGGGTCGGTTTGACCGAGGAAGGACCACGCTCTCACAATACCAGCGTAAAATAGCAGCTTAACACTTCTGTGTTTCGTATGGTGAGTGTAGAGAACCAGAGACCCTTTTTACTGGAAACGAGGCATTGAACTTAATCCTCACGTGTGACAACGCATCTGCATTTTAATTCGTAATCGAGGATAGATGTAAATGTCTATGGGCCACAGCAAGCATTTACCATCAAGTGGACAGTGTGCTCGTTTACCACCCCTATGCTATAAAGAAATATTTACAATTGTTTCCATTGTCATGCCATTTTGTTCCATTCATATCAGAATAAATTAACTTTAGTTCATTAACTGTAAGATTTATTCTTGTATATTTTATCTCGATGTAAGTTTGAATAGAATTTTGATTATAATTGTCAGTGTTTGGGGCCAATTAGAAAATAAAATGCATTTTGGTGAACTCAAATTTTATTTTAATCACTAGTTACATACGAATCTTACACACAAGTATATACAAAAGACGCGGGAACACGAAAAATAGTCCGGTTACTGTACTCAAGTGAACTAAGAACGAAAAGAACACCTTGCTTAGGTCGAACACTAAAACAAGTTACCTTACAACTTACTTAAAAGCTAAGTAAAATTAACAAATAGGGCCAGTCCCATCAAAATAAAAATTACATTTAAAATTAGTAAGGAGCCATTTTGTAAAAAAAAATTAATGACAAAATGGCGGAAATCATAACCAAAACATTATTTGCACATTATGCAAGAAATGAATAATAAAACAATTATTAGTTCTTAGATGGTTGGCACACTATAAACGGCCTTACATGTTTAAAATACATTCAAACCAAATAATCGCAACGTAACAAAGTTACGTACTTCACATAAACATAAGTCGTCTCATCGTTATTTTATTATCATTGTATCATAAGTTACATGACGCGTAAGCACTTGTTAAGTCTACATTAAAATTTAAAGCCTTCTCTATATGGTCATTTTACATGTCGTTACAAAAGATAATATTAAATGTAGCTACGAATTACTTAAATAGATCTTAAATACAGTGTTTAATTGTGACACATTGCACTACATTTCGACATAGGACCAGTATATTATGTTCAATATAGTTATAAATTGTAAATAAAAATTGCCTCTCTGTATATAAATTTTTTCAGTAATACTTTTGATTTTAAAACCAGGTCTAATCAACAGGACTTAAGTTAACATTAGTGAATGTTTATCTGTGACTGTATGATACCTCTATATTTCTATATAAGTATAAAAATTAATATTAAATATACTGTTCAACCTCCTATATAGTGACTTCGGCAAAGCATCGATATGATATTCATCAAGTATAAATAGCGGCACAAATGGAGGGTATAGTCAGTAGTGTGGACAAGTTTGCGCGTGTACATTTCCTAGCCAATAGAACAAGAGAATGACACGTAAATATCCAATAGATGACGTCGGTTAACTGATGGACCAATCAGGTGCAAGAATTTTTCAGTACCCGTGCCTCTCTGCCCACCTTTGCCTACACTAAAGACTTGTAAATCGCCTAGTGCGGAAATCAAGATTGTGCTAACGACTTGTGTCACTATTTTTAACTATACAATTCTAAAAAAAAATTTATTATATAGTTTAGTAACAACTTGTTATTGTTGAAAGTTTAAATTCATCCATATTTACTCGGAAGCATTGTGTGACAAAATCCTAAGTTACTATATGCCAGATATTAACAAGATAATTGCACTGCCTACAACTACCCTTTAATTTTTCAACCGTCTATTGAAAATATTAAATATATAATAATATAATATATAAAGCTAAATTTACATATTTCGAAAATATATCTTCTATATTTGCTACACACTACCAGTAACCGTTAACATTTATACATGTTTACATATATGTATATGTTTCATTGATAGTTAGATATTTTAGATATATAGTGCTATGTAATCTATAATCATCAAGTCGATAAATACTTGTTTATAACTCTGAATAAAGTAAACAAATTGATCATCTATTAAGTGATAATCAAGATGGTATCTAAACATTTCAATTGTGGTGATAGGAATTATTTAAGGAGTCTAACTGGGTAGGTGCCACCCTTTTACCTGTTATTGTCGCCAAATAGGAGGGTAGAACCCAGTATTACAGGCTTTGAGGTATTCCTAATTAGTGCTCGGAGGTGACAACGCATCTGTAAAAGTCTTTGTTTTAAGTTGGCTCCTAGTGTCACCATCTACCGTCAAGACTGTAAGTTTGTTTGTCACTTCAGTTTTATAATAATTAAAATTTTTGTACAGCCGTCTTCAATATAAGTTATTTAAGAATAACTCAAACACTATTGGTCTAACCTTGATCAAATTCGTATGGGACCACACGAGAACTATCAGCTTTCATAAAAAAAAAAAGATCATCGAAATCGGTTCACCCAGTACAACGTTATGAGGTAAGACACATAAAAAAAAAACATACAGTCGAATTGAGTACCTTCTCCTTTTTGGAAGTCGGCAGAAAAAAGTTATTCTTAAATCATATTTTTAATGAAACGTAGTATTATACTCACTGCCTACAAAATATTAATACAATAACTATGATCATATAGGACAGAGATAAAGTTCAGAGTAATAACTAAATCAAAGAATAAATGTCACAAATTGAAATTGTATAGTGACATATTTTTGTAACTTATAAAGTATTTCTTTTGATTTGAAATATATATGTTACGGCTAAAAGCAGGAGAGCAGTTACACCTAGTTCTAGCCGACTAGAACTAGGTGCGGCCAGCAGTAGTTGCTTAAATTTAGGTGTACTGATAAATTTGTAAAAAATACGGAAAAACTTATCAAGTAATATCAGCGACAATAGGTTAAGGTTCTTTGGGCCACCTTAAAACCGGAGACATTTATCTAATTTATAAATACGATACATTACCCGCAATCCACTACAACTTGTATTAGCCAGCTAGAACTAGGTGTAACCGCACTTCGGCTATTAGCAACAATAACATTTTACAAAGCCAGTCAATGTTTCTTATGCATTAGTTTGATATTTTGTAATAACTTTAAGGAATATGTAATAGTTATATCTTATAGACGAAAACGTTATGCACAAAAACACCCAACAGAGTTCCATGAGTTTGTTTTATATAAAACACAATATGGCAGTTTTATATTGAGCAGAAGCCTAAAACAATTTTTAAGCTTTACATGTTATTGACCATTTAGACTTAGTGGATAAGTAGGAAACCGTTATAGCTATTTTAAACAGTATATTCTTTAACAAACCACAAATAGAATTAATTAGTTTTTAGTTAGTTCTATATCAGCTTTATGACTAAGAGAACACAAACCCTCTATTTGTTTCCCAGACAATAGCACAACCTAGTCTTCATAAAACTGTCTGACAATATATTATCCTGCTGGATGGAAAAATAGAGAATAAATTATATTAGGAACAATCATATAAATAGATCCATTGTTTGATAAGTATAAAATGTTTATTATAAGGCTTCCTGTACAAGCTAAGTTAGTTTTCCTTTAAAACATAAGAAGTTAAACTTCAACCCCATCTCTATAGACATGTAGTACAGGATGTAATCATACGCGACAACTCATTCCAACCTACTTTTAATGCAAAAGAGATTGCTTTATATTTTTATTTTTTGTATTAAAAACCCCCATTTTGTTTATCCAGGACATACATCCACACCCGGAACAATTATTTGTAGCCAATACAAATTCTTGTTGCGTGCGGGATTCAAATTCCTTCCAGCCAACTGCCAAGCCACTGCCTGCCACACACTGCCACAGATTAGACACAATTTCAACAAAAGGGCATTTTGAATGTGTAGTACGCAATAATGTGCAATTGACCACCACCAGTGTAAACTCATTCGCAGCCCAAATTTTTAGCAACGCAAGTTTTATTTAATATACATAATTAAAAATTACGTTGTGTCATTTATTGGCGCCGGGCATGCTTCTCTTTTTTTCTAGCATTGATTGTTGTCGACTTACATGTGTCACGTACATGTTAACTGTTATATTGTTACGATGAAAAACCATTGTACACCATTCATGAAAAAATACCTAATTCGCAAAATGTATATAACACGTTTTTTTAGCAATATTTGTTAAGTTTCACTAGCAATGTATTTGCATATGATGATTATGTATGTATATATGAATGTAAGAAAATTGTAATTCACTTTTCACCCAAATCCAGACGTCAGAGTTATCTGAAACTTTGCAAATGTCTTCTTAAGGACCGATAACAATACAATAATTTCATGGCTATGACCTAGTATTCTCACTAGGATCATCACAGTTCCCGATCAATGAGTGTGTTTAAGCAGTGGCGGATTATCCTTAAGGCAAACCAAGCACTTGGCTACATACCTATTTAAAAAAAAGATTTTTACAGAGACGTAGAGCTTCCAAAGCGCGCCCCGTCTACTTCATTACTCCTACATCGCCCTCACTTATCACGTTTTTTATACGCGCCCATCTGTTACGTGTCCTTATTAATTTGAAACTGAACTATATTATAAATTATAATTTAGTTTATTTGCAAAATAAGTAGTTATAGTAATATATAGCTGCTAGAGGTGCTAGCCTTGGGCGTTGTCCACATTTAATCCGCCTCTGCATTTAAGTATTTTTAAACTTTTAATATTATTCGTTCAAGTCCAAAATACAGGACTTTAAAGAACCCTTTGATTTGGTTTTATAATGTATCTAACGTAAACTGTTACGTCAATGTAAGATGAGAGAAAGATATATTACTAAAATTTACAAGTGGTAAAATTAAAA